TACAGTACTTCCCTCCTAACTGAATCATAGGCTTTCTTGAAGTCTATGAATAACTGATGTACTGTTTCATCATACTCCCATTTTTTCTCCAATATCTGATGAATGCAAAAGATCTGATCTGTAATTGATCTGTTACGTCGAAACCCATACTGATGATCCCCAATAATTTCATCTATATATGGACTTAACCTTTAAAGAAGAATATTGGACAAAATTTTATATGAAGGTTATAGCAGTGATATCCCCTGATAATTACTACAGTCAGTTTTATCACCCTTCTTGTGAACTAGTACAATAATAGACTTCTTCCACTGATCAGGCAATTTTTCCTTATGCCAAATAGAAGTAATTAGATTGTTGATCTTAGAATGTAATGTTTCACCTCCTGATTGAATAAGTTCTGCCGGAATTTGATCACTACCTGGCAATTTATACTTTTTCAATTTTGCAATAGCACTTTCAACCTCAAAAGGGCTAGGATCAGGTATTAACAGCTCAGCTGTATCGATTTCTGTCTGCCTAACATCACTGACCCTATGTACATTCAATAACTGAGAGAAGTAGTTCCTCCACCTATTCAAAATGTTGTGGGAATCTGCAAGCAGATCGCCATTCTCATCCTTCACTAAGTTACTGCTAGGCTGGTAACCCATTTTAAAGTCATTTATTCCTCTGTACAGGTCTCTAATATTCTTATTCTTACTGTTCATAGCAAGCTCATCAATTTTATCTTTCAGATATTCCCTCTTTTTGTTCCTGAAATGCCTGCTGGTTTCACGTCTTATATTGTTTTGATTATCCCCATTTAATTCGCTTGGATCCTGTAACCACTGCAATTTGGCCTGCTTTCTTTGATCTTGTAATTTTGAGCATCCTTCATCGAACCATGGCTTATGAGCTTCCCTAGTTTTATGAACATCCACCTCATTGTCCAAGTTTTCCAAAGCCTCAAACTTATTTGAGATTTCAACACGATACTGCTTTTTGCCCTCTACCTCATTTAATTTCTTGAGATTGAACCTCTCTATATGAACTCTGTGTGTTGTTTGTTTGCCCACTGCCAGTCTTTCCCTAACCTTTGCCACCACCAGGTAGTGGTCAGTATCACAATCTGCTGCCCTGAATGATCGGACATCAGGTATACTTGAGTGCCATCTCCTATCTATCAAAATATGGTCTATTTGATTGTGTATCTTCCCATCAGAAGATGTCCAAGTAAATTTATGAATGTTACGATGTGGGAACATTGTACTTTTGACAGTAAGATTTCTTGATGTGGCAAAGTTTACTACCCTAACTCCATTATCATTACTAATTTCATGCAAACTCTCATTCCCAATTGTTGGTTTGGAAATGTCTTCCCTCCCTACTTTGAAATCTCCTAACAAAATTGCCTCTGTTACTTGACTAGTGTGTGTATTGTTATTATTGTTATTATTTTAGTTGTGTGACTTATGTAATTTATTACATATATACATCTATTATCAAAGGGACTATTTCCACATCTTAGGTTTTTTGCCTGTATAGATATATGGAAAATAAAGGAAATGAATGAATGAATGAAAATTTTCATAGGGTACTTCGGGAATTTATCAAATACAGTAGAACTTGGTTATAACGTCATCAAAGGGACCTAAAAATAGTGTCGTTATAAACGAATGTCGTTGTAACCGAAATGGGCACTTCCACAGTAGCCTTATGTTAGTCACATAAAAATCTACCAAAAACCGAGTTAAAATGTTGCATTTTTTAGTGAAATACGTAGTTAAGTACAGACTAACGTAACATTAACGTGGAATTGCCCAAATGTGTAATATCAAAGACATATTACAGCGCTTTTCACTGACAATAGACACCGCACTAATACTGTATATTAAAGGTAGACCTACTCACCAAATTACAGTAGATTACATCAATTGTTGTGCCTTACTGTACCTAGATACGAGTGCAGTAATCAGTTATCTTCATCTGTTTCCTGTTACTTGCCCAGTACACACTTTCTAAATTACGTTCAATGTACATATCAGAGAAATTCAGGAATGAAAATGACGTTACATACGAGGTTGATGCATTTGTGCATGTCGTTCTAAACAAGGTATAAAAACAGTTGCTTTATGAGGAATTAGTTCGTACCATTGAATATTTGACGCAATAGACAAGGTGTCGCAGAAACCGATGTTGCTATAACCAAGTTTTACTGTACGTGTTCTAGTTTTTCATAGAATCTATCCTTTATGTCATCAATTTTATCTTCTGTTGGGGCATGAACATTCATAACAATGATATCACACCAGCGACCTTTCAGTATTATATATGATATCCTATCCTATGATTCTCCTATGTACGAAAAAACCTGCACCTAATTCATGATTTTCATTCCCCTTTCCATACAAAAATGTAGTCTCCTGCTGGTGCGATGCCACCTCCATCCCATCTGACCTCCTGTACTCCTGCTAAATCTAACTTATATTTTCAGATTTCTTCTGCCACTGCCCTGAGTGAACCTGCCCAATACAAACTTCGTACAGTCCAAGTGCCAAATCTCATGTCCATTTTCATTAGCTTAGGTCGTTTATCCAAGGAATCAGTCCAGGTCCGAGGCTTTGTGTTCATTTTCATAACATACTGATTTTTTACGGTGAGTAGTTGTTAGCCCCACACCCAACCCCCAAGCTGGAGGGCCACCCCTTGTCGGCTGTCCGCGACTGCTTATTGAACATATTCACAGCTTCCCCCCCAAAACTGGAGGGCGTCTCCTCAGAAATATGAAAGGTTAATGGGGACAAGGCACAAAATATAGTTTGGGTCCCTGAATTGTTCCACACCTCATGGTGATTTTTGATTCCATAATGCTGGTTCCTTGTTATGTTTTGTTTTGTTTGGTTGGTTTAGGTTTTTCAGAGCAGGTTAGATTAGCATAATATTACTCAGCTTGAGGGGACCCAAACCATATTGCGCACTTTCGGTTATCAGAATTGTGTTTGCAGTTCTGACAGTGAAATGCAGTGCGGTGCAATAGGAGCTAATAGCAAGGCACTCATTTTATTATTAGCTAAACTGAAATCTACTGTCTTCAACAGATGAACATTGAAGTTAAGTGATTGGCACACTTGTGTAATATTCATGAAGATTTATGTGTAATCTCAATTTGGAAACTGGCAATCCTGGCTGAGGTTTCATAGTTTCTCATAGTCCCTCCAGGCAAATTCCAGGATGCTACCTCAAATTAGGGCACAGTCTCTTCCTTCCACATACTTTCCAGTTCATTATTCTCTGATCATCTGTCATTTCACACTTTACTGGGTAATATGAGCTATTGAAAACATTGTTTAATTAACCAAGAATAAAATAACTACAATCTCCAGAACTCTAAACTTAATTTATTTGTTTAAATAATTTTATTCTCAGAAGTATTAGTATTTTTAGAATAAGAAGAATTTTGTCATGTTAAATATAACCTGCATATGACTTGTATAAAGACCTCAAATTTTCTGTTGATTTTTAATGTCCTAGTGAATAATACAGATGGATTATTGTTTTCAGGTCAGACTAAATAACGCCCTTAATCTACCGCTTCAATACCGTTGTGATGAACTTGCCAGTATTTTTGTGGAATTTGGTAATAAGGAACTCCAGATGGTGCTTCCTCAGTTGCTGGAAAGCCTCTTTGGACTTAGAGATCAAATGGGATGGGGTTTGCGGACATTTCATCGCAACACACACCCACGTGAATTTGATATTCTCTTCACATTCCTTCATCCTCACGGTGCCATGTTCACACTGTGTTACAGGCTGCTTACAGATTATGTAAAATATGAATTTCCATTATCATACATGCCAGTAAGTAATTATACTCTTTGCAGTTTTCAAATGACAAGAGAACTAAAATCAGTATAACGTTGTTTATGTCATCATTATGTTAAGCCTTGTTGACTCACTGGTAATTAAGTGAAGGAATCTATTAATGGAGATCCTTTTCAGCGCGTTCACATTGGAAAGTTGCAATAATGTGGATACTAGCTTTGTCATAAAAAATTTGAAATTTTCATGGCGGTGACTATGAAGAATACCATCTTCTGGGATGTGGCGCCATGTAGATCTTGTGTGAACCAATGTTTTGGAGGAACATATCACCTCGCAGTCTGCAGCCACCTGCTCACGCTGGTTCCTCATGCACAGATTTTTCCACCCTGAAGATGTAGGCTATACGTTCCTCAGAAACATCAGTTCACACAAGATCTACATGGCACCACATCCCAGAAGACAGTATTCTTCATAGCTTTCTCATAGCTGTCCGTCCATCCATCTATATGTAACTACTCAAGAGGTAAAAAGTAAGTAAAGGTAGCTGTGTAACAGGCCGTGGAGGCTCGTGAGGTTTGAGATGTTGAGGTTCCCTCATTTTCTAGACAGTCGGCTCATAGATGCCAGCAAGGTTGTCAGCCCTATGCACTGGCCACCTTTTACCCCCAAGAATATTCCAAGCATGAGGTATTCAACAGATTTCCTTGAAATTTTATATTTTGGAGGTTTACTAAAACTTATAATCACATTCCAACTTCAGTTAAAATGAGATAAAATTAGTGGCTACTATGTGGAGGCTTAAATGTGTTTGCATTCATCTTCAGTATACCTCATTAAATAATTATCAAAATGAAAAAGCTTTGAATGAAGGTTCTAGAGAAAACTGAACCACACATTTTGTATCAAACTTTCTTTAATGTAATTAAACAAAGCAAGGGAATATCCCAGAATTGTTAAACTATTTGTACATTTCTGAACTTGTATATTCAGCCATCACTTTGACCTCAGCACGCACTAAGTCTACTGGTCTCTTATTCTTGTTAATAATTAATCAAGTTTCCTCCTTCCTGAGTTTATAGGTTTAATTGTACAGGGAGGTTGTTGGAGAGCCTCCTGAAAATCCTTTGTTAAGCTGGGCAAGACATGCATGCTACTTGCATCATCTCATACTATGGACTTTGGAGTTGTTGCACAGTCAGAAAACCAATAGACTATACACATTACAATTTCCATTCGACATCACCCCAATACATTGTAGAGCACCTACAATGAAGGAGACTTGTGTATAACGTGCTAGACCACTCATAAAGTCAGAGCCTTTTTCTGCTACTGTACTGTATTTGATTTGTGTGATAAGTAGTTATGATGCAGTCATGTTATTTCCAGTGTCAAAATGCCATCTTTGAGTTCCACATTGGAACAGCGAGTGTCCATGTATGATACCTATGTGAAAAGTGATTGTGTACAAAATCTGAGGAGAAGATTTAGTCATAAATTTCAGAATGTTGCATTTCCAATTGAAAAACTATTCTTGCAGTCATAAAGAAATGAAGGTAGATAATATCATTATTGGACAAGGGAAAGAACCAAATCAGAACACTGAGTGCCAACTGAAGAGAACAGGATGAAACTGGTGCTAGGTGGAAAGTCATCAGAAATCCTTCAGATGTGTTGTACAGAGGATCAGGTTTTCAAAATCTACCATAGAACTCCTGAAATTAAAACCATATAAAACAACTTTCTGCAGTGATGCCAAGAATGCACGCTGAATAATAGACTGTTTCAGCATACCGTATCATGTGGGCAAGTTCACTTTTATAATGTGTACAGACTGCTGGTCAGTCAGCTATACCAAGAGTCCAGACATACAATGTGAGATGATGTAGCTTATGCCCCACTTACCTAACTGGCTGAAGCATTTGTGAGACGTTCTCAGACAACCTCACCTTCATATAAATATATAAGGTTGGGCAAATAAGTTTCAAGACTAATTTTTTACAAATCTATTTTAAGAGCTACAGATGTTAACAACCTAGAATTTTTTACAGTAATCTCCCTCAGTTCTTTACAATGCTCCCAGCGCTTCAGCCGTTGTTCAGAACACTTCTTAAAATCCTGAACAGGAATGTTGCGCACAAATCATTTGATATCCTCAACGTCTGGGAAACGCATTCCTTTCGTCGCACTCTTGAATTTTGGAAGTGGTCAGAAATCAGCTGGAGTAAATCAGGAGAGTATGTTGAATGATCCATGGCTGAGATGCCTTTTCATGCTAAAAACTGATACACTTGAAGTGAAGACTGTTCTGGCATGTTGTCATGGCGAGAATCAGTGAGCGATCTCTCCACAACTCTCTCACTTGTGCCTTACAGCATCAGTAAGCCTTTTTAGCACCTCCACATAGAACATCTGATTAACAGTGGTCCCTTTGGGTGCAAATTCAAAGTGGATTATACCCCTGATGTTGAAAAAGGAGGTCAAAGTTGTTTTGATCTTTGACTTTGACACCATAAACTGTTCTTAATATCTGTAACATTTCACTTGGAGATTTCTGCAGTTTAACACAAACATTCCCATTCACTCTCTTTTCCATCACATGCTCCATTTTCCAGGTGCCTGCATATATCTGAAAATGAAATTTTGTTCTGAAAATTACAGGCAAAAGTAAGGAAACAGATTGAAGATGGAATGGTGCCTCCATTCTACGCCGATAAAGTACAGCTTGATCCTCATACAAGAGTACCCATCTCGTTAGCATTGAGTATCCTTTCTTAACAATGGTAATGGTATCTTACAGGCTAAAATGCTGTCTTCTGTGTTAGCTTGAACAATGACAGGAAACAAGAAATATGTTATAGACTCAAGTAGCAAAGACTGAGAAAAAACTTGTTGTCCTCCTTGCCCATTGACCTTTCAGGTTTAAAGTGAATCATCCTGTTGGTAGATGCCATTTCATCCACTAATTACTAAGCAGCTTTGTGTAACAGTAATGCTGTAGACTTGTAAACTTGTATTTATGAAGTGCTCAGTTTGAATCTCAGCTAAGGAGCAGTCTGACTTAGAAGCAACACTCTAAGACTTGTATTTGGGATGTGCTGGGTTTGAGTCCTGGGTGGGATATCATCTATCCTGACTGAGGTTTTCTGTGGTTCTCCTCAGTCTCGCTAGGTAAGTGTTGGGACAGATCCTATTATTCTGTCATCCAACACTGTATAGTCTTCATATTTAAAACATCATCAAATAACTCCAAATAAAAAAGAATCTCAATTAGTACACTGGCTGTCCTGACAGATTTTTGCATGGTTTTTCACAGTCCCTCCAGGAGTATCCTGAGATTATACCTCAAATTAGATCACGACTGCTTCCCTCCACATATTTTCCAATTCACCAGTCATCCTGGCATTCGATACTCTACAGCCTAGATACTGACAGTATCAGAAAATGAACCATGTTCAACTCATTCAGCCCAATGCAGTGTAGAAGTGTGTTCATAATTTATGTTGAAATACAAGGGTTGAATAAAAAGTAGTGGCAACACTGCTGTAACGTGAAAGATATGCATCAGGTGGCACTAGCACTGTCTGTAGCTGTTAGCAGAAGTTCAGTTGAAGCAGTGCAGTGAGTGGCTCTGGTTGTGTTTCATTGAGTTACTTTGTGCACCATCTTGAAGTGCAGGAGCTCAGTTCAAGTGCCCTAAGAACATGTTTACGAAACAAGAACAATGCTCCTGGATAAGAATTGAAGTTGCACGAGGTTGCAGTGCACAAAACTGTCATCAGGAACTGCGAGAAGCATGTGGTGATGCTGCTTTGCCACATCGCACAGTGGCACAATGGGTGAAATTGTTCTGTGAAGGGAGGGATGCCATTCAGGACGACTCCATGTTGACAACCACACAATTCAGCTTCTTGCTTCTTTGCTGGATGTCGATCGTCGATGGTCTGTGTGGGAGTTAGCTGCTGAGGTAGGTGTATGTCACAAAACTGTGCTCCCTTTTTGCACGATATTCTTGGATACTGCAAAATTGCAGAACATTGGGTACCCCATACAATGTCCAAGGTGCAACAAGGGCAACATTATGCAATTGCACAGGACTTGTTGGGCCGGTACCAGAGGGAAGGTGACTCTCTTGGAAGGATCGTCACTCTGGATGAAACTTGGGCTCGCTCATACAAATCACACTTGAAGCGACAATCAAATGAATGGAAGCATCCTGGCTCTCCTCATCCAAAGAAAGTGCGCACTACACAGAGTAATGTGAAGGCGATGTTCATTGATGGAGTGATACTGCACCACACTGTACTTCAATGACAGACAGTAAACACTGCCTACTGCTGCAATTTCATGCATAATCATCTTCGTCCAGCACTCAGGAGAAAGCAACGACAACTGTTGGCAATGAACCCCATCACCCTTCATGACAATGCAAGGGCTCATACTGCTGATGCTGTCAAGTATCTCCTTCGCAGCTGGCGATGGAAGATACTGCAACATCCACCATACTCACCCGATATAAGTCCGTGCGATTATGATCTCTTTGCCAAAATGAAAGAACCACTGCGAGGGACATGTTACAACACAAGAGAGGAGATTGTTCATGCTGTAGGGTGGTCACTGCTGGACATCAACAGAAGTGGACACGCTGATGGTGTACGACGCCCTCCACAAATTTGGCAGAGGGATGGGGGTGCGATTATATTGAAGGAATGTAAGTGTGTTTACCTCAGGTAGTAAAGTAATTTCAGAACTATAGAGGTGTTGCCGCTACTTTTTATCCTACTTACGTATGTGTTGAAGTCAGGAATGGCTACGGCACCATGCATGCCATTTATCAGGCTGTGGAAGAAATGAACTACTATTGAAATTATTGAACTGTCAGAGATTTTTTGTTTTTCCAAGATTTTTGCTATGAATTTAGGTGCATCTGTTATGCACACATATTTCATATTTCAAATACAGTGAACACAACAGCATATGATTCTTGGGTAAACCTTATATCCTTATACTGAACCAGACTTAAGTAAAAATTTAAAAATGATTTGAGCTTAAAATTGCTTTCACTACCCTAATTAAGTATATACTGCAATATATAGCTCTTTGTGATGACTGATTCCTGGAGTGTCATTTGTGCGAGTTTTACAGAATTTAATCATAATATGCCTTGTAGTTTTTCAGAAGTAGAAATTATATTTCTTCCACTTAACAGTGTTATTCAGATTCATTTGAGTTCTATATATTCCATTTTGCATACCATCTGGTAAACCCATGGCTTCAGAGGATGACAGACCATGGCTCATATTCTCTGTGGGAGACAGTGTACAATCATCTTGCAGAAGAGTACCTTACGCACTTCTTGCCTTGTGATGGTTCTTCAGTGCCTCCGTATGCTGGATGTTATGTATATCCCAAAAGTTCAGTACCTCTTCAGGCAGCTAGCAGGTTAGTAGTTTGATGCTATTGAATATTCTGTACCATATGGTTTTGTTTCAAATCATGTTTCAAAAATAAATTTAGAAACCATCTGTCCTAAAATATAAGAGGTACCAAACAACCTGACTGATTTGGACCACGTTTTGTATGATAGACCTACACTGAGATTTGTTAGGCCATTCAAATTTTCATTTAGCTTAAATCATTTTAGACCGCCTCTTTGATGTAGTGGTCAGGGTTCCTGGCTACAGATCCAGAGGTCCGCGTTTGATTCCCAGCTCTACCAGATTTTTTTCTGAGTAGTGGGTCTGAAACAGGGTCCACTCAGCCTCATGAGGATAATTATCCTCATGAGGCTGAGTGGACCCTGTTTCAGACCCACCACTCAGAAAAAAATCTGGTAGAGCTGGGANCGGCTCCGGTCTAGCAATCTGAAATTAACGGCCATAGGGATTTGTTGCGCTGACCACATGACACCTTCTATCTGCAAAAGTTGGCACTAACTTCTCCAACAAGCGGCGGTCGCTTGGTCAGTATAGTTTGCTTGTAGGCTAAAACCATGGAGTTCGGACCAATTTAAGGGTCCCATTACTTATAGGTCTCAATGGACTTTTGCGTGTATCTTCTGAATCTTTTATGTGCTCTGAAAAAACTTGCATATGGTTGAAAGCATTCTTCTGGAATGTGGCGCCTTGTAGATATTGTGTTAACCGACGTTTCGGAGGAACGTATCGCCTCTATCTTCATGGTTGAAGAAAAAAGAAAAAAAATCCGCAAGCAGAGAACCAGCGTGAGCAGGGTTTTTTTTTTACCTACTCTCACTGGTTCTTCGCTTGTGGATTTTCTTCTTTTTTCTCCTACCCTGAAGATGGAGCTGATACGTTCCTCCGAAACATCGGTTAATACAATGTCTACATGACGCCACATCCCAGAAGACTGCTTTCTTCATAGTCACCGCCATGAAAACCTCAAATCTTACACATTGTATATGGTTCTGACAGTATATAAATATTACCATATACAAGTGTTGTCGACCTCAGACTTTTAAAAAGAAGGTAATACACGTATATTGTTGCCTCAGTTGAGTAGAAATTGTTGTCTTAGTGACTGAGTCATTCAGTACTGCAGTGTATTAATATTGTATTGTTGATATTTCCAAGACCTGTCCGTTCCCCAACATTATTTCGACAGTCAGTTGTGCTGAAGCAAGGCAGCACCTCAGGTTCTCTGCATTCATCTCCAACCTTACCACAGCAGAGCACTCTTGTTGAGATATGGAGAAGTGAATCTGTGATTCAAGTGTTCATTGACTTCTGGTTAAGTTATGGAGAGAGGGAGATACCATACCTACACCTAGGCTCTGGGACACCACCAAGGGTAAGGATGTGGTTAATCACATTTGAATATAGTAAAGATTAAGGATCACAAATTATTGCTTTGTCTGCCTCTTCTCTTTAGATTTATCCATAACCTTACTGGTTAATTGGTACCATATTTAGTTATCTGTGAGGTTAAATAGTGTGGATTCTGTAACAATAATAATCATGTTTTTAAAATAACAAGGACCACAGTATACTCTTCCCCCCCCCCCTGAAAGAGTGTGTTGCGTCTGTACGTGTAAATACAAGCAGATATAGTGTGACATTTCCCATGTAGTAACCTCATTGACCAAGTATGTTTCCTATGTGCTAACCACATTGGCCACTAAACATTCCACACCCACCTGTGTACTTCCTGTCAATCAGATTGGTGCACTGGCAATATGCTACATGTGTATTTGGGAAGTGCTTGATTTGAATCTTGACTTGGAACAGTGGCTATCCTGACATTTTGTGGTTTAGCTCAGCCCTAAAAATGAACCACCTGCTATATTTTGTTTTATGAAGAAATTACTGAATCTTACAGTTTTGTTAGGTTCTAGATGTGCTGGTGCATCAATTTTCTTAAGTATTCTGTTTAAGAATGACTAGACTGAAGCTGTGAATTGTTACTGTTTCAGGAAATCAGTGCTTTGCTAGACTTTATACAAGGTTTTTCACACTTGATTATGCATTGCTGATCTTGTTTTTTTTTTATCCCTGTGTTAACTGGAATAACAGGGAATGTTTTGTATGTGTGATTTTTTTAATTTCAGGAAGGAACTTATTCACATTAATTAGGCTACAGAAGTCTCATTTCAGATTTCGTTAAAGGTCAAATTACATTCTGTAGTAGAAAATAACTCAGGTTCTTAAAGGTGTGTCCTTCTTTGTTATCCATGATGCAAAGATAAATCAGTATGCTTTGGTAGTGGATTAAGTCTTAGGTTAATTGTGCTGTTTCTGTATAGTATCAAATGGGATAGGAAGGAGTTATGAATAATGAGTAGAGAGATCTCTGGGTAGATGTAATCATGACTCATTTGAAGGTTTAACAGAAACCTCAGGCAGCAAACCCAGTTTGCTGGCAGATATTTGAACTAAGTCAGGTTAGATGTATTACAGCTATGCTGACCTGCTTGATCTGATTCTGGAATTAGATGCATACAGCTGTAATTTTATGGCATTAATATTATTTTAGGCTGAATCCATTTCTAGTCAAGAAAGAGGTTTATGTTCATGGCATTGTATTATTATATTGAAATTTGAGAATGGTGTGTGTGTGTGTGTATATATATATATTATTTTTTGCAAAACCATATTTTAGTGATACATGAATTTTCAAAAACACAAAAAAAAACGAAACTCTAAAAAAATGCCAATCATAATTTGTTCATATACAGCAAACTCCCAGTCATTCAGTGTCCATCCATCCAAAAATTCTTTTCCAACTAACAGAAATGTCAAAGAAATCTTACCATATTTTAAAGTTATTCAAAAACAGATTTTGGGATGCTCATATATTCACCCACCACACAGTAGTTCTTCCAGCTGCCACTACCAGTGCTACCCATCATCCTCCCTCATGCATGTTCCGTTGCAGTAGAGACTAGTTGAATTTATGAGCACATTACAGTATATGTATATTCTGAATCATTCACCCATCAGTCTTCTGTGTTGCCTAGGAAGACTTGCATGCAAGAACTAGAGTGAAAATATTGTCATATCTGTTGGTTAAGTTGCTGCTGGTGTCTGCCAGCACAGTCATTCCTGCCTTCAGTCTCCTTGAGAACCATGATCAAGATTTTTATTTTCTTGTAGACATATATGTGTTTTGAAATGGTGCCTCCTCTTCGACAAAGGAGAGGTTGGTCGTCGTATTTAGGCACTGGTCATTACACTGTAGTTCACAGTGTTCATGAAAGCATATTTTTGCATTTTCTGCTGCCTGATATTAGGATTCAAGGGTCTTCCAATTTATTGAAGACAGTTACAGGAACTTCATATTTTTTCAGCTGATAATGTCAAATGAATTACTCATACTTATGGTGTTATAAATGGATGAAATTGCTTGCATTATTTGTCTGATTTATGAAAAGTTGGTACAACTGGAACTCCAGTTATCCGTTTTAGTAATTCACTATTACTGTAAGATCTCCTTTGAGGTAGGAAGAATCATTTCTTTGCCACTCTCATTTTTGGAATTAGATATCAAAACAAAATGAAATGGAAAGCTTTAAGAGTTTGAAAATTATGAGTATTTAATTTTGCTTGTATGTATTTATATTTATTTTTAAACTCTTTAAGCAGTGTGTAAGATCGTATACATTTTTTGCATGGTTTTATGTTTTAAAGATCCTTTCTCAAACTTTAATTTATTTTCAGCAGTTTTCTCCATCAGTGGTACTGGGTAAAACCCACTCTTTCCTTCAAAATCAGATGCAGCTTCAATCCAACATTTTTCACCACTGTCCTGTAAGTTGTCCTGAGTTTAACTGGTATATTGTATAAAATGTGAGATAGGATTGTGTTATCAGTATAAGTACAAACATACTGGACACTGCCACTTAAAAGGACACCTTTTCAAACTGTGACTGACAGATGACCCAACCTGTGATAGGTGCCTGCAAGAAGATGAATCAGCCACATATTCTTATACTGGTAACTATTTAATCTTGTCTTATTTGTTTTACAATATATTAACCCAACTACATATCCCTATTTAGTTTGCTTTACTTCTTAATGAAAGAAATTGTACTTAGGAAATCACCATGTGCTCTGTGTTTGGGTTCCTTCTTTCAACTTTGAACCCGTTGACAGATTCTCATTAAACTTGGTTTGACTGTTACACCATAGGAGGATGTAGTGTTTAATTTCAGCAGTTGGTAGTAACAACACAGTGAACACACAAACTTGTGAGGTAGGAACAGCACTAGGACCACGTAATACTGGGTTATGAAATGATGTGTGGTAACAGAGCTTTGAAAAATATGCTTTAGTTAGGGCTTTTTTATGCAGAACAACACCGACACTGCATAATATCTGTATTAATCTTATGATTATGTGACAGAAACTAAGTGAACTGTTGGAGCTAAGAATGTGAAATTTGGTATGGAGTTGGATCTACAACATACCTATAAATTCTGTATTAACTACTGTTTAGAAGTCAAACTTTACAAACATGGCAGCACTCAGAATTTTGGGGTTATACCTGGCAAATTTGATATAGACAAAATCTGTATTTAATCTTTAATGGCCTTAATTGAAGTATTGTAATAGTGCATGTACATGGTTCAGCTTGCCAAAGATCACATTTATTTAATGTTGAAACCATTCCTAAAAATTGAAACCCAGCCACTAGCCCGGTAGTGCCAGGAGATAAAGGTTAGGTACAGTAATAAGTCCCTTTCAGAACAGACTATATATTCTCTACTGTATTTACAATTGTAAGTAATAAAGAAATTTCAACTTGATCAGGATTTTATTGTATGATCATCTGCACAGGAGTCCAGCATGCTGCAATCCCTTTTATCAGATGACATTAACAGTGCAAGATTTGCAACTTCTCAGATTTCTGAGACATAACCTTAATATTACTTGAACGCCTATGACTTGATTATGTATATATCATGCCACCTGAGGCCATGTCGGTGGTGTACACGTTAAATGCCTCTCATCAGTGATACGGCCTCTCAAATTGTTGAGGTAATACCCCTAATATTACTCGAATGTTTCAACTGATTGTTGTGAGAATTGGTATATATATCATGCCAGCTGAGACCATATCAGTGGCATGCATAAAAATCCCTGCCATTAGTAGTACCAACACTACAACCTCTGAAGCTGTTGAGATAATATCCTTAATATTGCCTGAATGCCAGAACCAGAGTACTTGAAACTTTGTTTGCATGTCATGCCATCCAAGACTATGTCAACAGTGTACCTCATAAATCACTCCAATCAGTAATATTAACACTGCAGCCTCCCAAAATTGTTGTATTGACTTCATTATGCATACATACTAAAGTTTTATTTCTTTGTGCTGTATCAGATACTAAAGTTATGGTGAAAGAAAAGTAGGTGATTAGTTCTTCCCAGAACTTCTTGTTAATCTTTATAATTGCCACACAAATGTTCCTTCATTTTATTGAAATTTGTTTTCAGTTGATTTATGCAAAGTAATCACCTAACCAGCAATGATCAATGGTTTTTCCCCCTTAGTAGTTTAAATTTTAGATCCCTGATTGGTTAAGATGTTTAATATTTTATTTACGAGTGCCTCCAGTATTTTATTTGCAAGTGCCAGAGGCACTCCTCTATCCCACAGTTGAACAGGTGATTTCCTGAAGCTACTAACTAAAAGGAAAAGTGTATATTTTAATTGTTGGACATTCTTTGTTATCCTTTCTCTCATGGGATTAAATATTTTAATAACAGTTCCATCCCTGAAAACTTATGGTAGAATTTGTGTCCTCAGCCATTCATTTTCAGAACTTACTATTTCATATTAACAAAATTTTAACTGAAAAGGGTGATAATGGAGTTGCTAAGTGGAAAAATCCTTATTGTGACTGGGTTTCAAAACTGAGACTTATGATAAACTTAACCATATGGTCCTCCAAATGTTCTAATACTGAATAACTTATGTAAGAAATTTAGTTTTCTCATTGCTAATGTACCATTTTTATTCTGTATGGTGTTGTTTTATGTTTCAGCATACAAAATGAAGTCATTTTTTGCTACTGGGTTTTATGAATGATCCTTTTTGTAATCCACACACTTATTTTCAGCATTACTATCCGCCAGTAACATCAAGCCCATACTTTCAGAATCAGGTGCAGTCTCAACCCAACATTGTTTTGTGTCACTGTCCTGTAAGTTGACATAATTTTTTGTGACATTTTTCCTTTCATATCCTGTCATTATTAATCCACTTGCACAGTAACTTCTAGCAGGCTATGAGGATGACCTTTACATGTTACTGATAGTGAACGTACAGGTTTGTTCATAGGTGTACAGTAAACTTTTGTATTAATGATCATGAAACATTCATATGGAAGCTTTGAGGTATCTGTGCTACATTTCTATTTTAGCAATGTCAAACTTAGTACAGTCTTCATATATGAAAACTTGTTAACCACTCTTTGGGCCTTGTTCCAAAGGAATTCTTTATACACAAATTATAACCTATATAATTGCATTGTTTCTTCAGGTGTTCCAGAATTTTGTTTATTATGTAGTTTCCTATATTGTGTTAATTTCTTTGGGTGTGGTAGTGTTCTTTTATTATAGGATTTTTCAGGACTGTGAATTTCCAAGTATGTCAGATTAATGAGCATTAAAATTTCCATATCCTTATTTATTTCAAACTACAGTGAATGTATAACCATATTAATAAAAGTGCCATGTTCAAGTGAAGCAGTTCACATGCATGCCAGGAAAAGTGGGATCACTCTTGATAAGCTAATGTGATAGTACCTCATTGTTCTCTTTGGGTTATAGGCAGGCCTGCACAAGTTTCCCATAAATCTAGAACCACCTCCAAAATGTAGGAACTAGAATAAAGAACAAATACCTTGGGTGAGAAATTTGCTTGTTTCTGTTAACAAAAGGACAGCTGAAACCTATGCATGTAAATAATAACCAGTTCATTTCACTCTAAGGGAATACCCAACATTCCCTTTGCTGGGGTTTGGGGAAAACATAAATTGCTGTCTGCCACTGCTAGGACATGGGCAGAAGGACAATAGGATGGAGGAGTGAAACGAATTTGAAAGGAGTACAAGAAAATTTATAGAAGGAGATAAGGGTAAGAAATTTTTAGAGGAACATAAAAATGTGTGAGGAAAATGTTTTATTCTGAGAGGAAAGGAAGAAAAAGCATTAGTAGTAATATAATAGGAATAAAATTTTACCACTGTATTGAGTGTGTCATGGCAACCTGGCCTCTGGAATAATTTTGCAGGGCTGATTATAGGTCTCTTCTTGCTTGTCATCTCTTGTTTATTGTACTGGCTATGTAAGTGTCAAAGTATTAATACGTATTGATGAATATCACAGTTTGTTTTGTCTTCACAACTATACCTTCTTTGAAATTCTTAAAGTAATTAGAATTCCAGAATGTGTACAGAAATCATTTTTACCTTTTGTGTGGCTCAACAATATGTAGTAAAATCTAGGATCACCATACAGTATGTTAAAATATTTACTGTACTGCACAGATTTTTACTTGAGTAGTTTGCAGTCTGTACAAATATTTCATTCATTTGGCCACTCTCATATGCATATAATTTTATGGTACAATTTAGTGGGCCTTAGGTTATACGCTTGTCTCAACTTGCCAATTTATATCACATGCTACTTATTTAACATACAGTTACAAAAGTTACATTTTTATTAATGGTTTAAGTTACTGATTAATCAGTCACCTGCTTAATTAGTGGTAGCTTACTGATTAAATATCTTAATTAGTGGAAAGTCTTGATCAAATGTACAAGGTAGGCAAGTGGTCTTTGTACTCCTTTTGTGTTGAATGTCGTTGATTAATTTATTAAGTTTAGTTTATTCCTTATATTGTATTTTTATTTGAGAAAGTTCAAATATATGATGTTCTTGGCTATTGTTTTTCATGTAATAACTTTTTTATTTTCTGGTCACTTTTTGTTTCAGTCCATTTCATTTTCTGTCAGTTTTATTTCACAATAATTATCTTTGGCAGGTTTTATCTAAAATATCCAAAGGAACAAACATAAAGTAAAATTAAGTTTGCACATCCATGATGTTGCTGCTAGTATCAGTCACATGTGTCATTCAGATGTACCTTAGCTGCTGTTCCTACACCCTTTGTCAAGTCCATTCAGAGTACACCATAGAAGGTGCATACAATGTGTATCACTATTAGCTACAAGAATATGAAACTATATATGTATATGAAAAATTGTGTAGTGGTTTCATGACATTCTTCTTACTCTGTGTAATATTTTTTGCAGATAAAATTTGTCAACTTCCATTTGTTTTTAGTCTCATAATACTGTCATCCTTATCATTACGTTCGTTTATGTCTGTAATATTCTATTTCAGCGTCGTAGACTTTATATGCCATATAGGCCTATCTTTTACAATGAGATGCAGCCTCAACCCATTGTGGCTTTGCGCCACTATCCTGTAAGTTGTATTTCGTTTCTTTGGGACTGCATTTCCCAATTTACCTGTTGTCTTTATTGTGTCGCATACCTATCCTTCATGTACATTAACACAGTAACAAATCACAGTATTTCAGTCTAAATATGCCCTTCCTATAACCATCTTAACTATTAAAAAGTGTTAACTGAATTATATATGGCATTTTGGGTCAAGTAGTGCATTGCTGTATAATTTGATAGATCTTTTTAATAGTGGTGAGTGATGATGGCTAAAATAAATGTAATTGTCTTAATTGGAATGTGTTTATAATAACAGTAGCAACTGATGAAATATGGAACATCTGTGTTGCAATAAATACCTCATCACTGTGGTGCTTTTGAGAAGCAAAATATTTCTTGCAGAGTGTACTGCCTTAATACCATAAGATGCAACTGTTCATTACAGAATCCACTCTACAGTTTGTAGGAAGAAATTCTCAGACAGTGGGAATATTATGGAAGTGAGTTAAGGTTTATACTTGCATATAGATTAAAATCAATACTCAGGAAAATACTCTACCTTTTCCTTTCATAAACTAATCAATTCCATGCCTTTGTTTCAAAAGACTATGTTAGAAGCAGTTATGAATTGTTTCTGATATGCAGTTATTTTTTTTATTATTGGACTAAGTCCCTTGTACTGCGGCCACTTCTGGCCTATTGTACCAGCCCCAGATGATAGGTGAGGGTGATTGTGGAGCAATTGGTGGAATGGAGATTGGCAGGGGAACCGAAGTACTCGGAGAAAACCTGCCTCAGCGCCACTTTTTCCACCACAAATCCCACATGACCATACCCAGGATCGAACCTGGGCTGCCGCGGTGGGAAGTCAGTGACTCTGATATGCAGTTAAGTTTTCTTGAGCAATCAAGCATGTCACTGGAGTTTCTGTCTCATGTTTCAGAGGCTGTCTCCATCAGGAGTTCATCATCCTCTGTCTATGGACCCAAAACATCAGACACAAACTCCATATTGACATGACTAATCACCCAATTAGTGTTATTAACTATGGTGATTTTGGGTAGCAGATTTTTATGTTCCATTATTTTTTTATGATGAATTATGTGATATGATAATTTGCTTAATTTCTGAAATTCGTTTGTTGCTTATGAAAACTGAACAAGATATTTAAGTAAAAACTGTTCATCTTTTTACACAAAATTGAAGGGACCACTTTTCCCAACAGACACATTTATCTAGTCTACTACTGTTGATATAGCAATTATATGTATATGCTCGAGAAGTCTTTTATTGCCACTGAGAAATCTCTTATTAATTAGTGCATTATAGAGTTCTTGCTATTTAACAGGAGCTTGTGTTTTGACACCATCTTCCTTCTTGCTTTGGATACTGCCATGAAACAGGCTAATAAATAACATCGTATGGCTTCCATCTTTGTGCCTTGCAGTTGCTTTTGCGGGTGTTGTCGTGATCTACATGCTCTCCTTGTGTGGTAACAGTGTTCTTTTGTGTTTCTGTTGCCTTGCAGTTTGCTGACATGTGCAGTATGTGTTTGTTTTAGGGAAGAATTCCTGATTACTATCTTTTATTTTGATTATAAAATGAGAACATTAAAACATGTTCATTGTAGCCCTCCCAACTTTGTTTTATTTTATATAACAGTAAGCATTACGGTCTGTACATGCTTTGTGTTTGTTGCACTACTGGACCTACACAGCTTTAACATCATTAATACTGAATGCACAATAATGTGTCTTGTATAGGACTTACTGCCCTCAGAAGAACACATTCGAGTGGTGAGGAATCTGGTGAAACATTTACACTACTTTGCAAATAGCACTGTTGGTGATTTATCAGCAATGGATGAACTTAAAAGGTGGGTTTAACATAGTTCTTGACATTGAGGTGTTAATAAGCACTTTCTTGGCTTTCAGAACTGTTACACCACAATTATGTGTATCTACTGTTGGAGGTATATTTACCTTTAGATGATCACGTGACCTCACGTAAGACACTTCTTTTGTGGGGTCCATAGCTTTTACATTCCACAGATGGGACTTTGGGTGTCATTTTTTATTCTGGTGAGCTTTTGCCTTGTAAAATCGGTTACTGTTCTTTCTTTCTTTTTCCTGGTCATAGACTTTGAGGGAAGACATGCACAACTGGAGACAAAAATATTGATAATGGTGTCAGTGTCCCACATAGGTGTTAAAGTATATATTAATCTGTACTGTAAGTTACCTTGTCTTTGACAGTATATAATATGTAGGAACTATGGTACTGTAAACACAACAAATATTTCAGTATTACATTTAGATCTATATTTACTGTGACATATTTTGGTCATACATGACCATCATCAGGCAGGAATACATATAGTTATTGAAATACTGATATGGATCATTATCAGTGCAACACATCGTATTAAATATTAACACTTTGCAGACTGGCAATTTAAATATTTAAATCACCCTGGGGACCACCATTTTTTTTTACCTGCTACTGTAACTTGTGCAGTAGACAGTCGTACTCCTTTTCTTGTGAACTGCGCAAATACGGCATTGCCTAGAAGGGTGCTTCACCTTGAAATGTTCACTCTTCACAATTTTTGCGAGGGTATGTTTCCGCATATCACCCGAGAGTCACCCAGGGGGGTCAAAATGAGGCCTGCGTGAGTTGGGAGTAGACGGGCCTGGTCGCACTAAGACTGTTTGCCGCCACTGTGTAGTCTGTAGCCCAGGCTTTTGCCACATTCAGCAGAAATGCCTTGCATTTCAATTTTGAATGAGGGTTTAGATTTTTGAAAACCAAAAATGAATTGAAAATGGCACAATTTATAAGCCACAAGGCAACTTTCTTTGTCCACTTTACTTTTTTCCGAGGAAGAGAATAATAGGCCAGGTACTAATCGGCTCTATCAACTCCCTTCATGAACATATTATACTCGGAAATACAAACAGGCTCCTTTACCTGTCCATGTCTTCTTTGAACATCAACCATGCTTGAATTGTGAATTGTGGAAATCGTATTCACAACACGAGTATCCCTCCAGGACTGAAGAAGAATATCCCCCTTCCTCCTGAATGTGGTTTCACCATGTTTCAGGGATTTACATTCCTCTTTCAGATCTGGAGGAAGGCCTCTGTTCACCCTAATTGTTCCACAAATACGTACTTTTCTCGAAAGTAGGTGCTCTGCAGTTGCCACACTGTTATAATAATTGTCTTGATAGACATGGTAATTTTGATCAAGATAGGGTTCCAAAACGGAAAGAATAGTTTCTTGTAATTTCTTTCCTTCGCCAGAATAAAATTCTAAATTTCCAGTATAGCCTGAAGTGCTTTCAGTAACTACACCAACAAGTAGGCCATACTTCATAAGTTTTCCAGGATTATATGTTCGCATATAGCACTACTCACTGACAGCTTGCTACATACAGCTTGAAGAAATAGAGGCATTTATTTTCTTTTGCAGGGGCATACAGTTACAGTGAGGTCACATAACTGATTAGTCAGCAAACATTCCAGAGGCTTATCACACAGCTGCAGGCAGCTACGTGCAAGCTGGGTGGCACCAGAGGGATGTATAGTGTGTTGCAACTTATCGTGCTCTAAAAGCATGTTAATACGCAACCAATCTGTCACGTCTAAAAGCAAAAAACGTATTAATGCGTGCGCGGTCCCACAAAGTGTTGACATAAAACTTTGCCGTAGATTAGTGTATAGTTAAAATAGCAAATACATGATTTTTAGTAAAAAAAAATAAAAGATAGAATAAAGGTGTACTGTATATAAAATGTTGAAAATATATTAAACTATATTAAAAGTATGTTAGAAGTATATAAAAGGTATGAACAACTATTCTGTATGCCAACTAGCATTTTATTTTAAGGGGATATCCTGTTACAGTGTAGAATTGGGCGTATGTTGTGTAGGTCTTGTTGCAGAAATTCTACGTAATAAGCCCAGTATATGAGGCCCAAAGACAGGTGTCCAATGATGTGCAAGTTTGATGCTATGTGGGTATTGGTATGGTATTCCCACGCTATGTACCCTATATAAAACTTGCGATGTGGCGTATACACATTTGGTGTGTACGGTGTGTTCTACACTGTGCGGTGGTTTGACATAGATTGTGTCTGTATCTACGTCAAACCACCGCACAGTGTAGAACACGCAGAACGTGATACGCCCAGACAAGAAACACAAGCCACATTGCAAGTTTTATATAGGATACATTTTAGTTGGTTTACAGACCCCTAACCCTGCATATAGGTGTTAATACCTTTATATACTTCTAACATACTTTTAATGAGTTTTAATAATATTTTCAACATTTTGTATATAGTACATCTTTATTCTATCTTTTGTTTTATTTTTTACTAAAAACATGTATTTACTATTCTAGCTACACACTAATCTGAGGCAAATATTTATGTTAATATTTAATATGACGCGTTGCACCGATAAGGATCCATATCGGTATTTCAATAACTATACGTGTTCCCGCCTGTTGATGGTCATGCATGACCGAAACATGTCACAGTAAATAAAGATCTAAGTGTAATACTGAAATATTTGTTGTGTTGACAGTAGCATAGTTCCTACATATTACATATTGTCTGAGACACACAAAAGGTTGCAACCAATGGGAAAAAAAAAATTGTCTTTGTCTAGGGGAAGGCAGGAGGGAGTATTGAGTATTGACTTGGGGCGAGGACAGGACATCTGGTCACCCCAAACATTCAGACCACTACTGGGTGCATTAGGTGTGCCTCCATTTTCACAAAGGCCCTTCAAAATAGCCCTGTGCTCATTATCAGAGCCAGAACCTGTTTAGTTGCAGCCCTTCTAAAGTATATCAGCTCAAGCCTAGCAGAGCCAAAGATCATCATTCTGTGCACAGCAAGAGCTGGGAAGGCAGAAGGGAACATCATGTGGAAGTGCTCTGCTCCATCCCCTTAGTGTTGGAAATGTATTCTAACAGACAACAAAATGTGGAACAGTTGGAAAGATCCACAGATTAATACACTAGGTTGTATTTTTACTGTAATGACATGTTGGGGAAGTTTCAGGTGTTCAAATTAATGTGGGAAACTGGCAAACGCTTGCATAACATTTTTTGAGAGAGCCTGTTTGGACATGAAAAAAATGATCTGAGAATATATGTTTTCTCTTATTTGAAACCAATTCATATGAACCCGAATGTGCACGATGGTTACTGTAAAAAAGGAAATGTCTATATATATATAATCATGTTTTGCATTCTGTATAAGAATTTAGGTTGTCTGGGGTATAAATAATATCCAGTTCTGGAAGATTAAAACAACTGCTGTAATTAATATGGCATTTCACACTATATTCTGTGTGAAAAGTAATTCTTTCATTGTTTATTGCATCATATTGAATCTTAGGAGATGTGTTGTTTTTGTTCAGGATCATCTTACCATCCAGTCAGGCAAAGATATATGGATTCCTGCGGCATACGATCCATCACTGGCCGCTTGATAGCTCTTTCCGACTCATCCTTGAGACCTGGTTGAGTTATATCCAGCCATGGCGGTACACTGATTGGCAGTACAGAAATATGCGAAGTCCTGGTGGTCGTGATAACGAAGAACGTACCCGCACAGTTGATCGACAGTGGCTCAGTTTTATTGCTGAGAATCTTCTCTCCTATACAATTATATTCAAGCAGTTGTTGCCACGTTTCACAAGGCTCGATCTTACAACACCAAAGAATGCACATATGTTGTTCAGAGTTACCAAGGTATGGAAATATTGCTTTTAAGGAAGAAGTACTAAGTTGTAGAGTGTATCCATTTTAGGTAGTTTCTTGACAAAGGTAAAAGAATCCATTAATTTCATATTATGTGTCCGTTTATGATGAATGAATGAATGAATGAATGAACGCATAAGAGGTGGGCCTTCTCGGCCCTTGCACTACGACCTACAGTGATCTAGTCTGTTTATGATACTCTGCTCTTATTAATGCAAAGGACATTGACATGTAAGAGAAGAGTCTGTGATTACTGAATGTGAAACTAAATAACTTTAGTGTTAGTAGTGATTATTCCTTCATACCAAATTTAGTGGTTATGTTGCCATGACTCAGTTTCCCACTTTTCGTTTGTGAAAATGAGATGCACCATGTGAAGATTTTTTTATTTATTTATTTATTTGATCAGCAATCAGAATATACATTCTATAAGCTAATATTATGGTTGTTTAGATGACATGATGAGGAGTTGTCTGGCTGCGGATCCTCTGTAATTCAAATCAGGTCACTTGGCCAGTTTTGTTTGAGTCATCTGTTGTCTTCTCTTGTCGATAGCATCTTTAGGAGTGGGTTTTTATGAGTTATGATTTTGTTGTGATGTCTGTTGCTTTTTTGTTGGATGATGTCTTGTACGGAAGATATACAGAGATCAGCGTGGAGTGTTGCATTGGAGACATACCATGGTGCGTCGACTATCATTCGTAGGATCTTAGATTGACTTCTCTGGATTATTGCTATGTTAGATTTGCTGGCGCAGCCCCATAATTCCAGGCCGTACGTCCAAATAGATATGATTATAGTCTTACAGATCAGAATTTTATTTTCGACTGTTAGCTTTTATTTCTTGCCTATTAGCCAGTTTAACTGTTTAATGGTTAAGTCTTCTTGTTTTCGTTTCTTGACTACATGCTGCTTCCATATTAATTTGCTGTCTATAGTCATACCTAGGTATTTTATTTCTGCTTTGCATGGTATTTGGATATCATTGATGTATGTGTCAGGTGTCGGCTTTTTCCGTAGGGTGAAAGTTATATAGCAAGTCTTGTTTTCATTTATTCTGATACGCCACTTCTCAAACCAGTTTTGTAATGTACTAAGGTGATGTTGAAGGTCTGTTGCTGCTCTTTCTGGGTCTTTGTTAACTGACAATATAGCTATATTATCGGCAAATGTTCCAAGAGTTATATTTGAGGAAGTGGGTAGGTCAGATATAAAGAAAGTGTATAAAGTTGGACCAAGGACACTACCCTGTGGCATGCCTTCTTTTATCGGTTGTGGTTCAGATTTTTCGTTTCCCACTCTTATTTTAAACTGTTGGTCACTTAAGTAGGATTTAAGAAGATTAAAATATGATGGTGGAAGGATTTGTTTGATCTTGTATAGCAGACCACTATGCCACACCCTGTCGAAGACCTGGCTGACGTCTAAGAACACTGCTGTACAGCAGTTTCTGTCTTCTAAGGCTTTGTTGTTAATACAGTGGAACCTTATGTAAGTTTTGAGGCTTTCACGGCGGTGACTATGAAGAAAGCAGTCTTCTGGGATTTGGCACCGTGTATATGTGGTGTTAACCGACGTTTCGGAGGAACGTATCGCCTCCATCTTCAGGGTAGAAGAAAAAGTATAAGAAATCTGCAAGCGACAAGAC